GTTTCAAGTCATAATTAAAATTCTCAAACCTAAACCAAACCCTTTTTGACCGATTTGGTTTGGTTCAAAACTATTTCGTTGACGGGTCCACGTGGCACCAAACCGTCGATTTCGAAATTGCGGTTTCGATTTGATTTTCCGGTTTAACGATTTTTGCTTACAGCCCTAGAACCTATTGAGAAGTGGAAGCGCGACAGCCTTTTCATTGACAAGCACGGGAGATTTAGGCACTTTAATCACAAAAAAGTTTCAAGAAAAAAGGGCTAGATTTTGAATTGGACGGTGATTTTATTGATTTTTGAGTGGCGATTTTATTGATTTTTGGGAGGCGATCTGGTGTTTGGACGACTGTTGGATCTTGTTAGTGCGGTGGTGACGGTGATTTTGTTGGTGGTTGTGTTGACACGGTGGTATGTTGGTGGATTTGAAGTTGAAGATTTGTTGGAGGTGGTCGGCGGCGATGATGGTAAGGTTGGGAATTTTTTTGGGTCGTAGGATGGGGGTGGTGGTTCCGACGACGGGTTTTGGTTGCTATGCTGTTGGTGACAGTGGTAGTCACAAGTGTTGATGATGGTCACATATTATTTTGGTTGTTTGTGACAATTAAATTGATTAATGTGACCGATAAATAAATTGTGACCAATGAAAAAGATAAATTGTGACAAAAAAATAATGTGTGACCTAAAAATTATTAATTTATGACCGATAATTTGATAATTTGTGACTTATAATATTTGTGATTTGTGACCTATAAATAATTGTGACGTTTCAATTTTTGATTTGTGACCGATGAACAAATTGTGACTTATAATTTTTTTGAATTGTGATATTAAAATAATTTGTGATATATAAAATTTGTGATTTGTGACCAATGAATAATACGTGACTTACTAATTTTATAAATTTGTGACCGATGAAAAAATTGTGACCTATAAAATTATCGATTTGTCATTGTGAAATAATTTGTGACCTATAAAATTTTTTATTGTGACCGCGAGAAATAATTTGTAACCAAATTATATGAAATTGTGACATTAATATATTTAATTAATTAAATATATCTGAATTTGAAATTTTAAACTTAAATTC